AAAAGGCAAAGGCTAAAGAACTTGCCACGAAACTGGGTTAAATGTAAATAACTTTCTGTAAATAAAAATAATTAATGCAAAAAAAAAAAAAAAGAAAAATAATCTTGTTGGTTCTACTGGACTTGTGATACTGGACAAACCTCTATATCCAAGAGCTTGAGGCACTCCTATTGGCCCACCTGGGTCACACACTCTTCAATGAGTGCATCCCAGGATCACAGGGAGTCTCTAGGGTGCTGTGTGTGTGGTGGAGGCAGGGAGATGGCAAACTCAAAAAGGAAGAGATGATGGACACTCGAAGCCTACCTTCTGCCCACAGGTGTGTCAGACACAATTGCCAAAGGCCATCCTATTGTCTTCTTGTTCCCCTCTCCCCCAAACAAACACTGAAAAACCCTCCTGACAATTTGGCAGTAGGTCAGTGTGGAGCATTTGTCAATTCCAGTATTAGAATGTCTGCATTGCAAAACCAGAAATGTCCAGCTCTGGTTTGGCACACAGAGAAGATTTTCAAGCCTTGGCAACTCCTCAGTGCAGGCAGTGGAGGAAATGCTCCAGCTTTGTGAAAATCTTCTCCTTTTCCTCCTCATGGAGAATAACTGTTCATCACTGCAGCCATGAGCCTGCCTACTAAACAGATATGGTCTGAAAATCCGGGGACAAATGGAATCACTTCGGATACCTGTAAATTTTAAAGCCAAAGGGGTGCTCCAGGGAACCAACTACATGAAGTTCTCTGGAAGCCACAGGATGGGAGGTTTAGTGGGGGTGGAGTCGACCATTGAATTTTACATAGGCAAATGTAAGACAATCTTATCCAGAGAGAAACATCCAAACTTACTGAGATTAAGAGGATGATAGTTCAAATAACTGCTAATTGTTATTAATTGTTAAGTTCTAAAGCACTTTTCATAGATTATCTCACTTAATTCTCACAACAGCCCTGTAAGGTAGGTACCATGATTATCTCCATAAAAGGCTAAATAATTTGCCAAAAATCACATATGCAGCAGTGGTGACAGAGTGAGGATTCATACCTGGGCAGCTTAACTTTAAAGCCATGGTGCTAATGCACTCATTCATTCATCCATCCATTCATTCAATGATTATATTGGATCCCTACTGCATGGTAGGAACTATTCAAGGTGCTAAAGCACAGCTGTGAACAATGCAAGTATAAATCCATGAAGCAGAGGTAGTGAGAAAGATAGTAAGTTGGAGAAAGAAGACATAAACTAGGTTAGATGGTGATCACGATTAAGGAAAAAACTAGAGCAGAGAGGAGAGAAAAATGTGCCGGGGGAGGGTCAATTCTGAGTCAGGGAACAGGCAAAGTCTCACTAAGAAAGTGGCATTAAATAAATATTTGAGGAAGTGAGGGAGCAAACCTTGCAGCTATCTAAAAGAAGAGCATGAAAGGTGGAAGAGATAGTAAATACAAAGACCCTGAAACAGGGGCAAGGCTAATGAGTTCTAGAATTAGCAAGGAGTCCAGTGTAACTTGAACAGAGTGATCAAGGAACAGAGCAGGAGGAAATGAGGTCAGAGAGGTAAATAGAACCTGGTCTTGTAGTGTAGGATCTTGCAAGTGGCTATTAGGATTCTTTGTTTTTTTGAGACAGAGTCTCCCTCTGCCACCCAGGCTGGAGAGTGCAGTGGCTCAGTCTGGGCTCACTGCAACCTCCACCTGCCGGGTTCAAGCAATTCTCCTGCCTCAGCCTCCCAAGTAGCTGGGATTACAGGCTTGTGCCACTATGCCTAGCTAATTTTTGTATTTTTAGTAGAGACAGGGTTTCACCATGTTGGCTAGGTTGGTCACGAACTTCTGACCTCAAGTGAATCACCTGCCTTGGCCTCCCAAAGTGCTGGGGGATTACAGGTGTGAGCCACTGCCTCTGGCCATGATTTTTTTTTTTTTTTTTTTTTTTTGAGATAGCCTGGCTCTGTTCCCTAGGATGGAGTACAGAGGCATGATCTTGGCTCACTGCAACCTCCACCTCCCAGGTTCAAGCCATTCTCCTGCCTCAGCCTCCTGTGTAGCTGGGATTACAGGCATACACCACCACACCCCACTAATTTTTGTATTTTTAGTAGAGATAGGGTCTCACTATGTTGGCCAGGCTGGTCTTGAACTCCCGGCCTCAAATTATCCACCCACCTTGACCTCCCAAAGAGCTGGGATTACAGGCATAAGCCACCATGCCCAGCCTCCAGCCAGGATTCTTTTAATCAAGTGTGATGCAGCCATCAGGGTTGGAGCTTTCTAGAAAGAGAGAACAGCATGTGCCGAGGCAACAGGAGCACATAAAAAAGGAGTTGCTGGAAGATTCGTTTCAACCCACAACCAAGTAGATATTAAATTTACTTTATACAAATGTTAGGGCCGGAGCACTTTGAGAGGCTGAGGCGGGAGCATCTGTTGAGCCCAGGAGTTCAAGACCAGCCTGGCCAATAGGGTGAAAACCCATCTTTACTAAAAATACAAAAATTAGCCGGGCGTGATGGCTGGCACCTGTAATCCCAGCTACTCCGGAGGCTGAGGCAGGAGAATCACTCGAATCCGGGAGGCCAAGGCTGCAGTGAGCTGAGATCGCCCCATGGAACTCCAGCCTGGGTGATAGAGCAAGACTTGGTGCAGGCCCCTCCTTCTCCCCCTGCAACCCAATTTTAGGAATAAATACTTTTTTACTCAAGCTAAAGTGTGGGTACACCCTTCCTCTAGGATTCTCCACCAAGGAAGAAGCCATATTAGGATAATTTAGAGGTCAGTTAACCCTAGTAGACATAGTGTTTCTTAAAGGCTTGGGGCGTCAGACTGTACACAGGCTTCACATGGAATCTGATCTGTTCATTTATCCCAGTCCCTCACCCAGAACCTGAGTCTAGCCCTTCATGTTATAAAAAGAGCCAGAGGTCCAAAGAGGGTAAGTGCCTTGTGCAAAATTCTCCAACTGCTTCGTAGAGGACTTTAGGGTCCTATCAAAGGCTCTTTCTAAAAAACGAAACATGATTACGTGCACACGGCCCCAGCGTTAACAAAGCTCTTTGTTAGCTGGGAAATGCCCCCCTCCCGACTCACCAGCTTATTATGTGCATAGAGTTATCTACTGAATAGCAGGAAAGTTATTGAGAAAACCATTGGTCCCTGGCTCCAGACCCCAAGGTTGGGAGCTGGTTCACGTTTTCTCTCAGAGCCGGCAGGGGGGGCACCAGGCAAGGTTTGGAAGCCGCGCCTCCCTCCCACCCCTCCCCCTTCCTCGCCCAACTTCCCACAGCCACGGCTTCAACTAAAAGTGGCCATTGACCTTTCAAGCTTTTGAGCAGTGATGCAATAGAATAGTATTTCAAAGAAAAATGTTTATCGAAATTTTGGATCCGGTTTTCCTGTGATTGTTAATTTTTTTTTTTTTTTTTTTTTTAAGTAGGTCACATTTCAAGTAGGTCACATTTCGGGGGCGGGTGCGCAGACAAAGAGATGAGTTTCCACTAAGGCCAGGTGGCCTCCAACGAGATGGCAGGTGAGAATCCCAGGTAGGGTAGAGGTGCCGGGATCCTTCCGAATTCCCGGCCCTGGGGCGCTAGCCCTGCAGGGAATGGCAGAAACGCTCTCCGGACTGCGGGAACAGAGGCACGTCACCCAGCCCCTCACCGGCGCGCAGGTAAGGGCGCCCCCTTAGCGGTCGACGCAGGTGAGCGGGGCGGGCCGCCGGGCATACCGGAGACGTTGGAGCGGAGGAAAGGAGGAAGGGAGGTGCTGGGTGGATGCGGGTGACAACCAGCCGGAGCGCCAGGGGGAGGGGACTAAGGACGGCCGGCGCCACTTAAGGAGGCGCTGCTCTCCTGCTCGCTGCCTTCCAGGACCGCATCAAGGGGACCGCCGCCGGTCCCCGGCCGTGAGCACCGAGCCGAGCGGGGGTTCCCGGTGCCATCAATGTGTCTTAGAGACAGAGAGGTCGGTTTCCGGGGACCCACAGTCTCTCCTGCACTCACCCCCCAAATAAGCGGCCAGGAGGGTCGCGTCAAAGGGGCGCCGTCGGACTGTTTAGAGGAACCCATCCCCCGTGGCAGGCGGGACAGCTGTACTTCCCTGAACCCCGGCGCTCAGCTGGCCCGGGAAGGGGGCAGGCTCCGGCCGCCGAAACGGGGTTGACTGTGGCCGGGGACTTTTCCAGCTCGCCCCGGAGCACCCCGGGGTGTGAGGCCAGAGGCCGGCAGACCCCGGCGTGCACACTGCCCACCTTGCACCGGAGCGCTCTCAGCAGGTCTTTCCTGAAGCCTCTGTATTGCGCCCGCGCCTCTTTAAAGCGGTAGCAGGGCTCGCGGTCACGTGAGGCCGATTCCTGGAAAGTTCCTGGAAAGCGGCCTCCGCGGCAGCCGGGTGGGGCGAGAGTAGAACGCCGGCTGGGGAGGGAGGCGTGGGGCGAGGGAGGCGCGTCGGGCTGGGAAGTCGCGCGCACTGGCAGCTCCTGGGACCAACATTTAACTCTTGCCAAGTCTTGTCGCCGCCGTTGCGGCTGGCGGGCCTTGGGCTTCCCTTGAAGCATGAGCCCTCTCGCCCGCAGCCACCCTCACCGCGTGGGCCGCGGACAGTGCGCGCCGGTGACCGGGGCGCACCGCCTTAGGATCCCCCGCGCCCGCAGCTCGGGAACCCGCGGCAGGTACCGGTGGAGGGGGGGCCTGAAGGCTCCGCCCCGAGGAGAATTGCCGCGGAGGGCGGCCGGGTGCGGCCGCGTGCGCTGGGGAGCAGCGGGCCGCCTGAGCGGCGGTCGGCCTGGGCTTCTGCAGCTCGGAGCGCGGGGGAGAGAGTCTGAGCCGCGGCTCTGCCCGGCGGCCGGGCGTTGCTGCCTGCTTTCTCTGGTCCCTTCTTGGCGTCTGGAAGTGTCTGGAGTTTCTTTTTTTTAATTTTCCCTAAACTGCCATTCAAATTAATAATCCTCCTAATAACCTGATCTCCCGCTCCTCCCCACCGGCCTGCCTCCCGCCCTCGCTCTTTCCTCCTCCCCTCTCTCCTTCCCACCTCCCGGGTCGCAGCCGGAGGGAAACCCGGCTGCAGTCCCAGGGTGGGGGTGTCCCAGCCCGGAGGGGGCGTCGCCGTGCGGTGGGGGAGGGGGTCAAGGCAATGATCCTCCGGGCTTTTGTGTGCCCTCTGCGCACAGAACTCCGGCCGCCGCCGAGCGCGGGGCTGGTCGCATCCCCGTGCATCTCGTTCCCAAATTAAACGTTAACGGGGGAAACAAGGGCAGACGCCCCTCCTCTCCCAGGCCCCTCCCGGCTCCCCCCGCCCCATGTCCACTGAGGAAGCTGCCTGGCGCGGAGGCAGCGGCGGCAGTCGCGGCGGAGGTCGAGGTAAGAGCACGGCGTTGGTGGTTTCCACTTCCCGCAGCGCTCGCGACCGCCCGTTCGGCCCCGGCCTTGGTTCGGAGCCCCGCGAAGGCTGCGCGCTCGGGCGGATTCCTCGACAGCGCCGGCGGCTGCGAGAGCTGCCGCTGCCATCCTACTCCGGGAACGGCCGCCGCGGCGCCCCCAACTCCGCCCAAGCGGGCACCGGGAAGTGGGGGGAGGGGAGCAAGGAGCCTCCCGGGTGGGGATGCGGAAGTTCCCGCACCTCCGAACCCGAGGTTGGTGCCTCGGTGTCCCCCGGCTCTTTAGGGTGGAGAACCAAGTTTGTGTGGGTGCTTCTTCCCGGAGGCCTTCGGGCTGCCCAGGTGTGAGACGGGAATGCCAATTTGGGGAATGTCTCCTGCTCTTTCCTTTAAAATTTTTTCTACTTGTCCTTGACAAGGGCCTATTCCCACTAGATCTGCAGGTGACTATTTGCCCTTCCTAGGCCACCAGTCTTTGATTTCAGGGAGTGGCCCTGGGCGGGAAGACATCCTGTTCACCCTCATCCTGACCTCCACCCCCCACCTCCCTAGCCAACTTTGTGTCTTGGATCCCTGCTCTCTTTATCCTTTCTCTACAGCTGGGCCAGGGCGCTAACTGGATGCTTGGGGTTAAACGGTGCAGGAGCGTAGAGACGGAGGAGTCCCTGGGATTTTCCACGTCTATTTCCCCACCCCCACCCAGCCGCAGGGGTCCAGTTTGGACTGACCCAACCTCCCGCTTTCTCTTTGTAGGCAATCAGTGGGTGACCGCGTCTGCGAGGGACTTTGTCGTCAGTCCTCCGGGACCTGGGGAGAAAGAACCCCATCCCTTCCCTCTCTGCCACCATTTCGGACACCCCGCAGGGACTCGTTTTGGGATTCGCACTGACTTCTAGGAAGGACGCGAACACTTCTCTGACCCCAGCTCGGGCGACCACCTGTCTTTGCCGCGGTGACCCTTCTCCCATGACCCTGCGGTGCCTCGAGCCCTCCGGGAATGGCGGAGAAGGGACGGGGAGTCAGTGGGGGACCGCGGGATCGGCGGCGGAGGAGCCATCCCCGGAGGCGGCGCGTCTGGCGAAGGCCCTGCGAGAGCTCAGTCAGACAGGTAGGGAGCCGACTGGCCGCGGCACGTGCGGGAGGGGGCGCCTCCCCAAAGACGCAGCCAGCAGCCAGGAAGCGGGGCCGAGGTGGGAAGCCAAGAGTAAGATGGAAATACGTTTCCTTGCTTCCAATCTTCGCTCCAGGGTGGGGGACCGCGGAGAGCACGCTTGCAGGGTCCTGAGTCCTTGGGAATGCGTAAGGAAAGTGGTTCTCCAGGGACTCAGGCCTGGCGGAGCGCAGAGCTCGGAAGGGGCTTCTTGGAAATGGCTTCTTAGCACGCTGGAAGCTTTACTATTTTTCGCAGCAGCTCAGGGTTAGGCGGCTCGGGCTCGAACCCCAGCCGGGGAAAGCATCCGGCGCCTCCCTTTGCGCGGTGTGCAATCAGCAAGTGGGCGCCACGGGCTCCCCAGGCCCAGCGGCATCCGGCTCCCGGGCGGAGCTGCCGCTTCAGCCCAGGATCTTGGCGGCCAAGTTCAGGGACTGACACTGCCGCAAGGGCGGCTGCCTGGGCGTGGAGAGCAGGCTGCAAAGCCCCCGCCGAGCGCGGCTTTCAGGGTCGCCGAGCCCAGGGGACTGCAGGTTTCAAGTTCAGTCAGGCAATTTGCGCGGCACTCTGTCCTCTCTAAGCATCTGTAAAAAGAAAAAAAAAAAGGTAAAGTATCTGGCAAATCATTCTGGCTTTTCAGATCCGTATCCTAAAAGCTTACAGTTGTGGCACAGTTGAAATTTTGGTAGCAACATGGGGAGGGAGAGGGAAAATCTCCCTCGCTTGCGATTCCGGTCTTTCCTTGTGGGCCACGGGCTTTCCCTCCCGGGGAGGCACCGGCGGATTGCCAAGTATCCTGGTAATGGTGGGGGTGTGGGGAGCACAAATGTTCAAATTTCTTAAACATAGACGATCTTTGAGCCTCCTTAGAAAGCAGCATGGGCCGGGGAGGTGGTGCAGACAAATGAAATCGAGAATGCAGGGGAGACCAATGGTTGTGATTGGATTTGGATTAGGGCAAAGTCCAAAAGTTTAGGGAAGATTGTACACTTGAAGTAGTAATTATCACTTGGGACTTCCCATTTCTCAGTGACTGATAAGGTAGTCATAAAGCAGCGAACAGAAGCTATTGTACTAGAACTGTGCTTTTACAACAAGTACATAGCAGTGCTTTCTACAGAGCAGGCTGTTCACAGCAGACTCTGCAGTTTCTTTTTGAGGGTGGCACCAACCATCCAAAAAAGTTGCTTCTGTTTTTACTCCAGTTAAATTACAGGAGTTGGGATTTTCACTTTTTAAAGGGCACGGCTTTAATTTCTAACTTCTGATGTATTTCTAATTTACTTAAATCTTTATTTTACTGAAATAGAGTTAAAAGTATCATGCTTCATCAGCCAGTGTGGCATGCTGCAAATGTTCTTTTGGTTCATTAGAAGAAAATTTTAAGAAGAGCTTCAGAAAGTTATTTTTTACAAAAGAAAGAAAGAAAACTGGCTTGCCGTTTGTGTTTGCAAAATGGACCAAAATTTTTATTAAATTTCTACCGAAAGTATTTGTGGTGGCCCCTGGTAAACTATCACTCACACAACTTTGTTTTTTAGAGCTAAAAAATTATTGCCAATTACTTGCTCTGTTCTAAAAATTATTATAATAACAGTTTTACCCTCTTTTCTTTTCCTTTTTGAACAAAAACCCCAGGATGGTACTGGGGAAGTATGACTGTTAATGAAGCCAAAGAGAAATTAAAAGAGGCACCAGAAGGAACTTTCTTGATTAGAGATAGCTCGCATTCAGACTACCTACTAACAATATCTGTTAAAACATCAGCTGGACCAACTAATCTTCGAATCGAATACCAAGAGGGGAAATTCAGATTGGACTCTATCGTATGTGTCAAGTCCAAGCTTAAACAATTTGACAGTGTGGTTCATCTGATCGACTACTATGTTCAGATGTGCAAGGATAAGCGGACAGGTCCAGAAGCCCCCCGGAACGGCACTGTTCACCTTTATCTGACCAAACCTCTCTACACGTCAGCACCATCTCTGCAGCATCTCTGTAGGCTCACCATTAACAAATGTACTGGTGCCATCTGGGGATTGCCTTTACCGACGAGACTAAAAGATTACTTGGAAGAATATAAATTCCAGGTATAAGTGTTTCTCTTTTTTTTAAACATGTCTCACACAGAGTATCTCCGAATGCAGCTATGTAAAAGAGAACCAAAACTTGAGAGCTCTGGATAACTATATGGAATGCTTTCTAAGAATGGCTGAAGCTAATCTAATTTAAATGCGTGAAGAGGTAGCTAGGTGTTTAAAGTTCCTCCAGATACTTTACCTGAGTGATGCTTCGCTTTCTA